GCGCCCGGTGCCGCTCTGGGGCTGGCGGAGGAGAGCCAGCGCGTGGGTCCTCGTGGTGCTGCCCCCGGCTTGGTGGCCTGGCACGTGCCTTGCCCGCAGACTCAAGCCGATACCCCCTTCCTAGCCTACCAGTTATTTTCTTCATCGTATCCCTATTTAGTCCACTCTTTAAATGCGATGCAGTCTTTTCATGCTTCCCTGATGCAAAAACCTTTCCAGGCTTTTTCACTTTTTTTTTTGCTCTATTATTTTCTATGAGTTTTTTGGTCCTCTTCCAGCCAATCCAGCAAGATGGGTTACCAGACTTGGTTGCCTCTACCGTTGCCAAAACAGCTGGTGGTTTTTGGAATAGGAGACTGGAGCTGTTACTCCCAGGACACGAGGGTCGCTGTGGATGTGCTGGTAGCACCAGACATCAAACCACAAAGGATTGGCTGGCTGGAGCCTGCCCAGAGGTACCTGCTCAAATCTGGTGCTTTTGTGGCGTTGGCACTTCAGCAGGGGGTTCTTGGAAAATGTTGTGTGCTGTAATCTTCTGTGGTTTTGATGCTGTCTTCCTAAAGCTGCTCAAATCTGTTAGTCCATCCACCCCTAACATGGTGAGTCTGCCCTAATTTTTCTTCTTACCGCTCAGAAGGGAAAAATGGCCAGTAGGGCTTTGGTGAGATCTGAGTGATGGGTGCTTTACTGACAAGTTCTCTCTAGCATGTGCTATGGCTGGTTAGGAAGCAAGTGCCTTGTTTCATGAGAGACTACGTGCTTGAATGTTGTCAGACACTGTTGGTGGATGTGGATGGGGCAGAAGTTTGTGCCTGTTTAGCAGTGGGGCAGAAGGTGTGATGGGTGTCCTTGAGTGCTATAAGGGGCAGTAGAAATGGGCCTGCAGGCTTCCTCTCAGGACGAGCTAGTTAATCTGGGATCCAGGGATAGATAAGATGACAGGCACAGGAGATGAGGGGCCATGTTATGCTCCAGTGATCCCCTTGTCCTCAGAGATTGCTAATGTGGTTACAGGAAGCTTCTCCTACAGCAAAGGTGGAAACAGGTGGAGTCTAGCAATTGCCAGTGTAAAGCATCCAGTTTTGTGGATGATGAAATGATTTTTGCAGGCAGAGCTGGTCTTGGAAGAGGCGGACCTGAGAAACATACCGACTTCCTCCTTTTCCTTTCCCTTCTGGGCTTTACGCAGAGACCAGAGACAGCCTATGGGATTGTGGGGAGGGTAAGTGTAGCAGGACCCTGGGACATAACCAAATGCTACACGTGCACTGTTTACATTAAAACTATCAAGGATCCTGTGGAAAAATCTGTTTAGAATAAGAAAAAATTACTTAACTGTGTAGCGTGACCTTTAGCTGGATAGGAGAGAGTACAGAACATTTTTCCTTTCCCTTTTATAGTGTGTTACAGCTCTCCAGACCAGCTTTTCTCTCAAAAAGCATAGGTAATGGAGTGAAAGAATCAGATATGGTTCCTAGTTTGTTCTGTTTCATGTGATTATATTTATGCACATAAATGCATGTTATTTTCTATAGCCTCTTACGATGTTTTCAACTTCCTTTCAGCCGCTTTGAGAGCGGGATCTTTTTTGGCTTTGAGGTGTTCCCAGCTAGTGTGGGGGCAGGAATTCTTCCCTTGTCAGTGTCAGCTGTGGGCTGAAAATGCATGATCTCCTCTGCAGGTCTCTAGTGTGGGAAGGTAACTGGAGGACAGACATTTTCATGGCCTCATTGAAAGAGATGGACAAAGGCAACTCTGTGAAGCTTGTCCTGACTGTCAACGGGCAGGTAAAAGAACTGATATCCTCCTCTCTTGCTGTTCCTGTTCTTGTTCCCGGATCGCTTCCGCTTTGTCAGTTCTGAGCTGTAAAGCTTCTGATCCCATACATTTCTTTCTCTTCTCTTTTTCTGCTTTAAGGCAGAGCCACCTCACACAGATCTTCTAATGCATATCTGTGCTGAACCTAAACACTCTTTGATGTTTCAGTCCTACTCCCTAAACACAGCTTTGCCAAAACACCTTGTTTTTTGCAGGAGGCATGCAGTGGAGAGTGTTTCAATTCCAATTCCGTTCTCTCCTGGGTTTGAGATACCTGAACAGTTGTTTTACCACGTGCAGTAGCCCTTGGATTTAGTATCTTTCAGTGTCTGACTTTGATTTTCTGTGTAAAATATTCTGTTGGTGCTGGACACTTAGGCGATTGCTTTGCGGGGGATCTGCCCCTAGCAATACATCCTTTTGCTCACCCTTTGCAGGACAGAGGCCAGTATGCTTGCACGTCCTTTTATTCTTATACTGCCTGTCACTGTTTCTGCCACAGCTGCTCAGAGGAATCTCCAGCAGTACGCCCACCCACCCGTTTCTCGTCCCGGAGACTATTCAGTCACCAGTGCTCCCAGCAGATGATGTGCCCCTCAATCAGGAGCTGGAGGACCCTACTATGGTATGTGTATATTGGATCCTTTCTCTCATTATTTCACCCCACCCTACTTTTAGCTGCTCAGTTTAGATCTAGCAGAAGCTTCTGGTACCATTCTCTTAGTGGAGACATGGTTAAGCGGATTTTGGAGTCAAAGATTCATTTGTGCTAAAGAGATTGGTTAATTGTATCCTCTACTGAAATGCCTTTGGAAGGGTTGAATTTAACAGCCCTTTAGGGGAACATCGATCAACCTGGTTACTCCTAACACAGATGGCCCTTATGCCTTTGCAGATTGCCTTCACACTAGCTGTGCACATTGCAGACAGACGTCTGAAAGCAGACCACTGACTGGGCACATAGCAGTGGGTAGTTACATTGTTTGGCATATGCTTGGCAGCTGGTGTTGTTGGCAAGCTGGCCCTTAACAGAAATGCAAGCCTGAAACAGTCGCCATGTGAAACTAATCTCCATCCCAGTAACAAACTCACAGTAGCCCCAGGTCACTTTTCTGTTTGTCATCAAAACTCTTGGGGGACAGGCGGTTTCTTCAGTTTTGAGTTATAGGAAATGGCTCTTTTTTCAGAGGTGATTTGACTGGGACTCTTGTCATAGGTTAAAAATCAGAGCTCAGAGAAGACTGTTAGAGTTTCCAGGCCTGGGGGGAAGGACTTCCCTGCACCACTGAGAAAACCAGTGGTACCCTGTGCCCTGAAGCCACCACCTGGCAATACGGAACCCAGTGAGTCCTGGAGGAGGAGTCCTGCCCAGCTTAGGAACCCTAGGAAGGTTTTATTTGAACCTAGAGCATCTGAGAGAGAACTGGATGAAGAAGGTAACTCTGGCAGCTTCCAGGTGTCTTTTACAGGTCTTGCCTGTATGATTTGTTGATGCTGCTGGGCAATGACCTCCCAGTATGTTTCTCTGTAAACCTCCCAGCCAAGACGGTCTTGTCTGTCCCTTGCAAAGTACTGAGAATTGCCCCTTAGATAAACTGCTCGAGGAATTTTTGCCTGTTAGGGAAATGCCAGAAATGAATCATGGGATCCTCTTAGTGCCAACACTCTGCGCCATAACGTGATAGGCCGTAACTCTTCATATGAGTCTAAGTGCTTTATAAATAAAAGCAAGTATCATTAGCCTTGTTTTACAAAAGAGTAAACTAAAGCACAGGAAAGTTACCTACAATGACCTTCTGTACCTCTCCATTACTCTGTTCATTCCCCTACTAATCGCGTGCCAGTTGGTTCATAGAAAACATTGGTTACCACTAAAGTACAGAAAATGCAAAAAGGAATATATACGTGTGTATGTATATACACACACACACATAAGAAAATGTAATTAATGTAACTGTGCTGACTTTTCAGTAGTCAGAAGATAGCTGTCCAGAGGGCTGGAAGCAAAACCTTTAGCTTCTGTAGCGTGTATTCCAAGTCAGCCCCAGGGCGTGACCAAGTTTGTGTGCAAATGCTTGACAACAGTTCAGTGAAACAGTGAACAGTTCAGTTTCAGCCCTATGAAATGGCTTATTGGACCTTGGCCCACTTCTTAGAAAGACAAATGTATCTCCATCATACAGTTGCTTCTCCAGTAGGCAGTGGGAGGGGGAGAAATGAGCTATCTATCATCAGAGAGGTAAAAGGCAATAGTGACAGCATGATGACAGTCTGAGGAAGCATGCCCTCTTCTTACGTTCTGTGCCTCTTCTGGTGAGGCTTTCTTCAGGCTTCTCAGTCTGGCACCCTATTTGTTGCCATGAGGTAGCTTTGTGCTAGGGGTTGGTGAAAAGCTAAAAGGCTCTTAAACCATGGAGCTGCGCGCTTTCCAGAATGTGTCTGTTGGCTGCTTTCTTTACAGGGCTATATCTATGTTTTCCTCTGCAGATTTGGCGGTGGAGGAGTTGCAAGGTGAGGATCTGGTGTCTAGACCCTGGTTTGTCTTCTCAGCCACTCGGTGATGCCATTCCCTTTAATGTCACAGGCCTCTTATGCTTGATCCTTTATCTTCTCAGTGATCAAGAACAGCAATTAGGTTGTGTATAGTGTCCTGCCCACACAATTGCCCTCAGTGTATGTACTTCCAGCACTGTCAGGCTCTCCAGTAGGCTTATGTAGCCCCTCTGAATCTCAGCCACACCTCCAGGTGCATGGTCCTCTAAGGGGAAGAGTAAAATATGGGGCAGTCTTTTACTTAAGTCTTTTCTAGCTTGCTCACCCAACTGGGAGGTGAAAGGAGGAGGAACAGAGCAGTAGGAGGAGTGTCTCTGGAAGAAACTCCAGGCTTCTGATTGCTGTGTCTCAGGCACTGACAAGCTGTTACTTGCTAGCCCTCCCATATGCTCTCAAAGGTAGGAGTAATGCAGGGGGATATCACAACGAGGATATCTCTTCCAGGATGGTTAATCAGTGGGATCCAAGCCTGCCCCCACTTGCCCCTCTCTGAGGTGGCAGCCTGTATATGTCGTACAGCCAGCCAGCCCCTCTCTGAGGTGGCAGCCTGTATATGTCGTACAGCCAGCCACACTCCTCTCTGCTGGCTCCCTATGTCAGTGATGATTTTGGCAGTACTGCAATTATTCCCCCAAACCTACAGTAAAACTTCCTTAGGGAGCCCTGGCCTCTTGCCACCCCAGAGTGAAGGGACCTGGGGCCTTTGCCTTCCCATTACTCCCCTCTGAGCTCTCAGCCACCTTGTTCTCCTCTGCCGTGAAGGGAGCTGGAGGTGTTTCTTCTGCCTGTGCTCACAGCCCTGTGCTCTGCCCTTCCCCAGGCAGTCCCAGCCCACGATGGTGCCATGCCATGTGCCTCAGTGATCCAGGAACAGCTGTTCTGATCGGTGGAGAAGGTGTCAATCAGCAGTCTTGCAAGGATGTGCTCTGGAAAATGGAAATCGGTGGGGAGTTTGGAGATGACTAAGGCAGTGGGGCACAGGACACGGGGATAACTTGTACTGGCAGGAAGGAGTCCTCAAGGACTCTCCTGTGCAAGGAGAGGGGATAACAAAGGGGTTGCTCCTCCTAGCATGATCAATTCTGGGCAGTAGCTGGTGGTGACATCACTCCAGGCAGGTCCCTTGCGTGTTGGGGATGGGAGTCTGCTGTGGGTCCTGCAGTTTCTTCATGCTGCTTGGCTGTGGTGCTGTGCATCTGACCAAGCATTTGCTAGTATGACTGTGTGCCCTGCTCCCTCAGCTGGGGCAGGGGCTGGATGGATTTGTTTTTGTTGCGAGTCAGTCAGTGGAACGCGCATCCCTTATCAACTTTCAGGTACCAGTTTTCTTTACCAGACTCATCCTCTCTTGTCCTTTCCTTTTTTACATTTCTGCTCTTTATTGATGTTCCTGGTCCTTGGGCATCCACAGGTGCTACCCTGGGCTCAGCTGACAGTGTGGGGTGCTGTGTGAGGCTGTTGGGCTGTATATGTGAAAGCCCTCTAGGAGCTAAGTTAGAGGTCTGGGGAAGAGCTGGTTGATTTTTAAGGGGCAGAAGTAATAACACAGTTCGCAGTCTGTGTGTGATGACAGAGAAGTGTGAGGTACAGTTCCAGTGCCTTGCAGCTTTCTGCACCTCACTGATGATCTCTTTCACTTTACTATCCCCTAGCCAGTTAGCAGCTCCCTTTACTCCTCACGCAAAAACACTGCTGTGTGAGTCCTCTCCAACCCCGAATTGCAGGAGAAGTGGTGATGAAGGCAGCAAGATTTTGAGTAAAGACTTTGACATATGCTGCTAATCTAGAGAAACTGAGAGGATCTTTGGGCTCCCTCACCATCTGTCTGGTGTTGCTCCCAGACAGTGATTTCTGGTTTCCAGTGGATCTCCAACTACGAGATACCATGCCATCGTGCTTGCGTGGTCACACTGCTACCTATGACCCAGACACCAAGCGTATCTACATCTTTGGGGGCGTAAAGGAGGACGAAGATTACAGCAGCATCTACATCCTGGACACGGTCACTTGGAAATGGTTCCTTGTAGCTGTAAGTATTGCAGCTTTTCTAAGATAAAAGCACAGAAAGGGTGACAGGTCCTGCCTCACTCTCAGGGAACAGTTAAGTTTCCAGGGAATGTGGATGTGAATGGATGTGTCCTTGTCTTTACTCCAGCAGTCTTGGTCCACCGTTGCTGCAGGTTGCCTCAGGTGCATGGCCTTCTTATATCTGTCAGAGCCAACTCTGTTGAAAGGCCACAAAGCTTGGTGGTATCCAGATGCTGTGCCTAGAATGAATGGAGCAAACTGGAAAAATGGTTGCTATAGGGTGCTGTGTCTGACAACAGCAGTGGGTGGGAAATAGTGTTGAGAGCTGCACTGGACGTTGAGGTAAAGCACTGGTGGCCTCAAACCAGGGGGCTGCTGTGAGCACAACAGATCTCTAAGCTCTTTAGTTTGCCTCTCTAATCCTTTCAGAGGACCCTGTCAGCTAGGGATTATCCATCTCTTTCCTGTGAAGTACAAGATGGCTTTTACAGAATAACCCTGGGATGAGTTCTGTCTGTTCTCTGCCTTGTTCTGAGCCAACTGGGATAGCAGTTTGACTCCCTGCTCTGGGCAGAGCATTGCGGTGCCGCAGAGTGTGCAAAGGACATATTGTCTGCCTGCATTGCAGAGATCTGCCTGGGCAGGGCAGCCAATGAAGCCAAAATCGAGACTTGCTGAACTCACTGCACGAGGTGGGCCCCTGTCCTGTGGGCCATGCAGCAATTAATGCACTTCTCTTTCTCGTAACAAACGTGTGTTGTGCTTTTCCCAGGCTAAGGGGAGAATGCCAATGCTAGCCTACCACAGTGCAACCATCTACCGCAAGGAGCTCTTTGTTTTTGGGGGGGCTTTCCCCAAAATGGCATCACTCGCTGTTGGACCCTGCAGCAATGTGCTCTATGTCTTCAATCCAGAGTATGAAATTTGGTACCAGCCCATCTTAGAAGGGGAGAAGCCTCTTCCTAGACTCGGGTGAGAGTGCTCTTGTTCCAGCCCTCAAAGATAAGGCAGGAAACCTCTTCCCACCTTTCCTTCTGCCCCAGTGCAGTTTCCTAAATATTAAGTGATTGTTCTCCACAGTCTGCTCCTTAAGATAAGATGTGACTCTTAGTGCTTCCAGTCAAGAAATCTTAGTGGGATTATATCATGGGGCTGCAAGGGCTGGGGATAGAGGCAGGTGTAAACTGAAACTATTGTAGTTCATTAGCAGAAACTAAACTGATATGAACAAAGGTGAAAAATTCAGTTCTGGAAAGCTTCTGAAGATGTTTTGCTTGCTTGCTTTCTTCTCTGCCCAGGCATTCAGCTACTCTACTGAGGAACAAGCTGCTGATTTTTGGGGGTCAGAGGACTTCTGTCTACCTCAGTGACATGCACATCTTGGATTTGGGTAAGAAAGTCTGTGCCAGGTGGCTGCCTTGAGAAGGTCCATTCTAAGGTGGGGACTGAGGAATGAGGCATGCAGGATGGGAAGGCAGCAATAATGTTGTAAAAGACCATGACTAGATGGAAAGCTATGGTGTAAAGAAACCCTTTCTGGAGAAAGTGGGGAGGGAATGGGACCTTGCTTTTTTGGAAGAAGCTGAATAACAGAAAAGGCAGGCTGCAGATGTGACAAAGTATGGAAGTCTTTGCCTAGTAATAAGGTTGCAAAATGCTGCTAGGAGTGCTTCTTGGACATTTCATTTGCCTTTTCCCCTGCTATCAGGTTTCATGGAGTACACACCAGTCCCTTTCCTCGCAGGACAACCTTCTGCACGTTGGTAAGATACTGTTGCAGGCCCAGGAGCTCTCTTCTTCCTTTATCATTTCTCTATGAAGCCATGTTTTAAAGGTGCCTGTGATCCAGACCCACTGGCAAATCTCTGCTCCACTAGCCCACATGCAGTGGGTGGCCCCTCTCTTGTGGGACTAAAAGTTCCTGTGCTGTAGCTGGTTGGTGCTTATAAGGTCTGAGGGGGTTACGGACCCCTTAGGATCCCTGGAAATCTGCTTCTCAGACTAGGGGAAGTTATCCGCTGTGTGCTAGTGGATTATATCACCTGTTTTTTGCTCTTCACAGTGCCTGGAGTATAACAGATCCACAGAGAGGAAGAATCTCTTGAATACGCTATCCCCAAAGGGAGGCTGTTGCTCACTAGAAAGTACAAGTAACCTAAATCAGACCAAAGCTCACCTAGCTTGCTGTCTCACTACGTGGAGCAAAGCACAGAAGTTGTGATAGCTCCTTCTGAGGTAGTGGGGTGCTTTTTGTGTCTGATTAAGACCTGACCTACACAGAGAAGCAAACAGCCCTTTCAGGATTGCTTAGGAAGTCAGGGCAGAGGAGGAGGAGAGCCTAACTTCCATTCTGCAGCTCGAGCCCCCAGCCTGCTGCTGAAATCTGCCTGCCTTTGTCCATCACTGCTTGAGGAGGTTGAGGCAACTCCAGCAGGTTTTGCTGTAGTCACCATTAGCCTTTGTTTTGGTCCTAGTTTCCACGCTGCTATGGCTGTGTCAGATCAGAAGGTTCTGATCAGTGGAGGCTGCAATGCCAAGGGAGCCCTGCAGGATACCTTTGTTTTTCACCTAGGTGAGTGACTCTCCCTTCTAATTTGCATAGCTGAAGGTGGCTGTTGGGCCACAGTGGCATTTCTGAACATCTTGGCTGGTCCATTTGGTTCATTCCTTGCATGGAGGATGGAGTACTGATAGCCACTTTCTACTTCAGACACTCTTGCATGGAGCACAGTGATCAACCATGACCTCTGCTCTGTGCCCCGAGCTGGCCACACATTGCTTGACTTGACTCCTGCCCACCTGACAGACGTGGACAAGGAGAACAAAGATGAGCATAACCTGCATACAGTGTTGGTCTTTGGGGGCTCCAACTGTGCTGGGACCTTCTACAACAGCACAGTCAAGATCCAGCTGGACCTAGAGTAAAGCACAGGACTGAGAACAAGTCTGAAACAGCAAAGGCTCTTTGCCAAGGTAAATTCAAACAGGGATGGCAATAAATTAATCCAAGCAACCTGGCAGTCCAAGTTTCTATTTCTAGGTGAACACCATCCTTGGCATAAGAGGCCGTTGGTTTGTAATACCTTTATGAATACTGTCGGTATTGCCCTTTTAGGGCTGCTGGATATACAGCATCGGACTGGCAGAAATTCCCTCCCACATCCCTGGCTTGGTACCTGGACTTGGATGCCAAAACAACAGTGGCGGAGCCTGCACAGGATCATGGACAGTCACAGGCTTTTGGTTTCCCTTCTTGCCCTATAGGTTTCTGGGCTGGCATCCCAGGGTTCTCTCAGCTGTGAAGGTGACTCAGGTGTTTGGTTTTATCTGAGATGAGTGGAATGGGATTTGTTTGCTGTCACTTGGGAGTTCCTCACAGTGAAAGTACCACCATGCTTCTGGCTTGGAGGGAATCTGGGGTTCCCTTGGAAACAGTCTGCAGCTGAGGACTAAGAAAGCACCCAGGGCAGAGTCTGAGGATGGGAAAAGGAACAGAACACCATTGTTTTCATCATAAGGGAGTGAGCTGGTTGTGTTGTCTCGGTGACTGTGGCACAACCACTTTGTTTTGCTCCAGACAGGCCTTTATTCTGCAAGGTTACTGCTGGACAAAGGGAAGAGGTACAAATTGGCTATCCCAGGTAGTAATTCTCTTGTCATTGCAAGGGGTGGCAGAGTGACCTAGTTAACGACTGGGTCTTACAAAAGCAAAGGGACCCAACAATGGCTCTCAGGTTCCCGGAGTCTCTTCTGTCAGGGCCTATCCCTTACTGTTTATATCCATGGCATTGATAATTATGCCATAGCTCTGAGGAAGGTGCAAGGACAAGCAGGCCTACTGAGTTAGCAGCAGCATCCTGTGCAGTTGTTCCCTGATGATCTTTCCATGGCTGGTGGAAAGGAGAACCTTCTGTGAGGAGTCTAGAATTGGCTAGATGCTCCATAGATGTTTTTGGCTACATTCCTCAGCCCCAAACCATACAAAAGGAGCTTCTGAGAGTTATGGATGCTTCTCTTTTAATCTGCTTCATAAAGAGATATAACATAGAAAAACATAATCAGAAGCAGCTGCAGTCTTTCCAGCACAGTGATAGCTCTTGTGAGTCCTTCCTCAATTCCATCTAGATGATCAAATCCTACCCAACCTTTAGCTGTTGTCCTCTTTGCCACTCCAGCCAACTTGATTTAATGGGTAAAAGGGCTTTAAGCTCGCAGTTCTGCAGGGGTATCTGGCTGCCGGGATGGGTGGCTTACTTTGAATGCCTCTAGCTCCAGGAGAGCTTTGTTGATTCTGGTTATTGTGGGATATGGAGCCAGGTCCACCTTGTATCTGCAACAGGAAAAGAATTTGTCAGGTACTCTCAGCTGGACAGCCAGCGCAGCTGTGTGTATTAGGGCAAAGCACTGTGCTGTACCTGCCCAGTTTGGGAGAATCGCACAGGGTGGGGTATATTTGCATGAAGAGAAAGGGTACATTCTTGTAAGTTTAAAAATAAAAGCTAGAGGAAAGCTTAGTTAGCTCTTCTGTCTTCACTAGGCTTTTATGCGGTGTTCAGCATACAGTAAGAACGCTCTATGCTCTTTCTGCTAATGATGACTATCTCCTGGGAATTACGCAGACCCTACTTGCATAGGTTTTTATTCTCTACAAATACAGTCAGATTGCTCTTTCCCCTCTGTGTGCAGTGTAAACATAGGGCAAAGAGGAGAGAGGATGTGGAGCGTGGACAGCTTTAGCTTTTCTAGGGGCACAGATCAGCTTTCACTCCTGTAGCCTCTAGGAAGAGAGCCCAGCTCCTTGTTCCTGAGAGCCTCCAAAAGATGCAGTATTTAGGACATAGAAAAAGCCATGCAGAGAATAATCCATAATGGGAATGAGCATGGAGGAAGGATGCTTTCCCAAGAGGCACAAAGAGCAGCACAGGAAAGGTCAGCTTTGACAGTCCAGCACATAGAGTAGGCTCCAGTGTGCTGAAGTGCACCTCAAGCTTAGCCCTAATTACCTTTCAGCATTGAAAACTTGCGGCACCAAGCACAAGTCAGCCATGGATACCTGCAATGGAGCAGAGAAAAGGGGTCAAAGTAATCCACAGCCTGTCCCATCACCCTTCAGTGTAGTGGCAGGCTTTGACAGCACAACAGCAGTTACTTTATCAGCCAGTAGCATCTGAGAAGGTTTCCTATGCATTTCTGGGGTGAAGAGAAGAGTTCTCATGGCAGTCCCATCCTTTAATCGAGCATTAATAATACCTCAAAGGTGCAAGGACAGGAACCTCATAGAAGTCATTAGTACAAGAAGCCATCAGCCTGTAGGAAGCTTCCTATTTACCAGCTGATCATGACAACCCCAGGGAGACTGCTCCTATGGCAACTGCCACTGAGCAAACAAGTCTTGCTGGTAGGAGGCAGATGGAGGAGGTGGAGGTGGTGGGGGTGGAGGTGGTTGCCAGTGAGTTTGTGTGGGTGGGAAAAGATGAGTAAATTTTTCTTGTTTGCACTGGAGGAGCATCAAACAGCTCCAGCCAAGATGAAGACCTGTTGTGCGAGAGGCCTTTGTATATATGCTCAGGGACATATAATCTGAATAAAAAACAAAGGGTAGTACAAGTAGCTGCCTTTTTGCATGGATGACAGCTGCCCCCTCCCTATTCCCCAGGTCATGAAGTACTGCGTGTCTTTTAGGGCACAGGATATTCTCCAGCGTAAGATCTCATAACTAGTCTTTGCTCATCAAGGGGTCCAGTCCTACAAGGCTCATGCCATATAATCCTCTGCTCCACAGGATATAAGCCTGCCTTTTTTGCCAGGCCTCTTATAGGGAAGATCTGATTGCCTGCCAAACAGGACAGCTAAATGGAGCAGGTCTGAGTGGCCCCTAGCCTGGAAAGGGTTGAAACAGCTTGTGGTGATCTCTTTTTTTGAAATGTGTCCATGTTAAAGTTACAGAAACAGAGCAGAAGAATATGATGCAACCTGGCCAAAGGTCCCACAGCTAAGAATTGACCCCATGTTTCTTGAACCAAGCTTTGGCCCTACTGAGGGGAGACTTTGAACTCCAAATCTGCTGGAGATGAAAGATATTTAATCTGTTGCCACATCCTCTAGTGGCAGCCAGTTCCCAGATCCTAGATACAGCTGCACAATCTGGCCATCAGCAGGCTACAGGCAGGGACAAGTAAACATCCCCATAACTATTTGGCGGTCAGTAATGGCCTAAGTGGGATCCATACAGCTGTTTTCTTTATGGTGAAGGAACAGCATGTAACTCCAGGCATAGGATGGGCTTTGCCTGTGTCTCCACAAGCTAAGTCTTTTCTACTTTATGGAAGATGCAGGGATTTCTGATTCTCCAGTGGTGCATGACACTCGGCTACTTACCTCATCCCCCACACAGTAGCGCCCAGCAGTGTGCTGCAGAATCTGCTCCAGTGCTGCCAAGAGAAGTGGAACACGGGGGTCAGGCATGAGAAACTCATTTCAAAGGTTTAATGAAGCTGCGTGTGGAGGCGGGGGGGGGGGGCTAAAGATCTTTGAAGCTGGGAATTTGAACAAGAGTGTTTCAACCCTGAGCTGGTAGGCCTGAAGAGGAGCGATCTGAGTCAGAGCTGAGAAAGAACAGAAATCTTGCCACAGAAGAACTGTAGGAGTCTTTAGGACCCCTGAGCCCTTTGGGACCCAGCATGCTTTCAGCTGCTTCCGGCAACGCACCTGACATACTAAGAGTACAATAAGAACATACGTAAGCGTGTGAAGGGGAGAAGTGCAAAGGTTCAGTCAGTTTGTGTCTGTCCAGAAGTGAAGAAGGGCCTGCCATTCCAGCACATGGGGGGAAAGGGTTTTCTGAAACAGCGTCCTATTTTTCACAAGGAGCTAAAGAAATATTTTGCTACTTGCTAGATTCTGTGGGATTCTGCCACAAGATGTGTTTTGGCGTGCAGCAAAGGCATATTAATATACGCTGATAGAACTTAAGTACAAAAGGCAGTAGCTTGGACGCAGCAGGGAGGAGAGTGCTGTCAGCCCTCGTGCTTCAAGGTGAAATGACTGCCTTGGTGTTCAGGATAGCTCTGGGCTTTCCCTTTTCCACGCCCAGCAGCAGCACTGCACTGTGGACAAGCTCTTTTTGGAGGCGCTGCAGGGCTACCAGTCCTGAACAAAGTACTCTGGGCAGGAAGAGCCTGTATTTCCCAGTAAGGCAGGACACCAGCATGCCAGTCTAGGAAGGCCTGTTGTTCTGGTTGAGGAGAAAGTAGGACCCCAGTGGTGCAGCATGCTGCCCACAGAGTTTTGAAGAGTCAATCAAAGTGCTGAGCACTTCAGATGTGGGACTCACCTTGGAAGCCAGATGTGATGTAGCGCTGAGCCCATTCCATTTTTTTCTCCCCTATTTGTTGCAGGATACTGAGGTTCTGCGAAGGTGAGCAATCTCCAGGTTAGGCTGGCTGCTGTGAGCTGGAGCTTGCCCATTGCCTTATCCATAGGGGGAGAGGGGAGACTAGGAGGTGCTCAGTCAGCTGGGTCAGCCCTCATCTCACCCTCATTGAAGGAGCCATTTACATGGCTTTATTGCTCTCCTGGGACTGTCAGAGAATCACAGGAGGTTGGGGTTTAAAGGGACCTCTGGAGATCATCTGGTCCAAACCCCCTGCTCAGAGCACGTCCAGTCAGGTTTTGAGTATCTCCGAGGATGGAGACTCCACAGTCTCTCTAGGCAACCTGTTCCTGTCCCTCTGTTACAGCATCTGCCTGGGTATCCCTTTGTCAGAGCCCTATGGGTCACACTGTCGTCTTCTCCCTGAAACATCCTAAACCCTGTAGTGAAACCTTATGGGTTAAGCTGGTTCTGGAAAGAACCCTGGGGTTCTATAGAATTTTCTTTGTAGGAAATATGTATTGTTTCCACTGGCATATTAGACGAAGCATAGATTTCAACTGCTAACACAGTCTAAGGGCTGCTGCTCTAGTAGCTAGCAGCAGTGTAAAGAGATTGATCCTTTCAGAGATACGAACTGCTGGAAACCCATCCTGATTTTCTCATTTGCATGGATGTGACAAGGCAGTACCTGGAGTGGCTGAATGCCGGAGACAATGTGATCTGAGATCATTCTGACTTGGGCTCTCTTCTTTGCATCTTGGGGCAGGAGCCTGGGGTTAGGCCGGGTGTCTTCTAGGTAATGAATTATAGCTAGCTGTAATGAACAAAGACATAACGGGGTGATAGTGGAGAGTGGAAGAAAAATATAGGGCCTAAATATCTAGGAGACAGGAGTTCCTAGTTGGTCCAACAGAAAACAACAGCTTTTGAATAGAGTCTGTTACTAATCCCACCAACAGAATATCCTCTTTGATAGTTGCTTGAGACCTTGTGGTTTAGCCAAGCTGTGATTTAAGACAAACCATGGTACAGCCATCTAAGACAGACTGCAAACTGCTCAATAAAAGGTTGGATTTTGAACCAAGACTGAGTTGAGCCTGATTGCCTGACAGCAGTTTCCCAGCAGGGGCTACGTGCTATTTCTGACCCCAGGTGGGATTGTTTTCTTCATCCCAAATACCATATGTTCTCCAATGCACAGATCTGGAGCTCTGGGGGAGGAGATAGACTGAGCAAAGTCCACCCTTCCAGTGTGGGCAGCAGGCTGGAAAAAACGGTTAAGAAGGCTGTGTCTGGTAACTCACCGACTGAGAAAGGGTGATGCCATCAATTTTCAAGGCTGGGACTTGCTGCATTGGGTTCAATGCCTTGAATTCAGCAGAAAACTGGGGAAATAAACCTGAGATTACTCTACTGCAACCAGAAATTCTTCTTCTTCCTTGTTTTAACTAGAACCCAGTTATGAACTTGTTTTTTTACCCAGCTTTTCCCTCTACCTCCAATACTATTTTCAGTAAGTTATGCTGAATTATTAGCTCCTACTGGGGCTCAGGGATCTCTCCATCCAAGGACAGACTGCCTTACCTCTTGATAAACCGTTAATACAAAGTTAAAGACGGGTGGTACCGTGGCAGTGTCACTATTACTGCTCTAGTTCCCCAGTACTGTCTTAACCCATCATGGCACACCAAGTTGGGTGGTACTACTTAGCCCATGACTCTCAGCTATGGCCCCCATGAAAAAGTTCTCAGGAGAGATCTTTTTTGCCAGCCCACCACTTCCTTTGGCAGCCCCGCTCCAGCTCCAGCTCCAGGCTTTATTTCTCTCCTAATCCTAACCCTCACCCTAAGTGTGAGCTGAGTCTTACTCTATGATGCCCACCCATGGCCCCCATGAAAAGGTTCTTAGGAGACACCCCTTTGCAGTCCCTGCTATGTCATTTAGCTTCTTTCTGACCCCCTGCTCCCCCCACACTTTATGGTGCTAATTGAGTGAGGCCCAGTTTGTCTCTAAAATGCACTGCAGTGTCTCTGAACTCTGCATGCTGGATGTGCTCAGTTACATCATGATAAGCAGGGGCAAAAGATCATCAACCTTATGAAATTCATGGGTATTTAAGATAAGAGAAAACCTTTAGTCTCCTACAGTCATCTTCCTCTATCTTGCAGGCCATGGAAGACTGGTTGAAAGCAACAATTAATTACAGAGAAGCAGCGAGGAATACAGTGACTTTCCTTTGAACTTTCTAGTGCTGATCTTGATTCTCCTAATGATCCCAAGTTCATGTCCCCCAGAAAGACCAATGGTAGTGTATGTACCCTTACCTGCTGCCCCCCGTCCTTAAGGAGGTTCACTGGCACCTGGTCATAGGCAATCCTTTTCAGAGCCAGTGCTGCGGAGAACACAATGTGCAGCTTCAGACAGGCACGCTGAGACCAAGAGGTTCAATTTTTTAGGAAACGGGCTCAGGGAAATGTTACCATCTCCATTTGAAAAAGAGTGGCTTTAAAATCAAAAAAGACCCTGTCCCTCCAGAGAGGGGGTCTGTGACCTCTCAGAGGACAGTGCTCTGGCAAATCAAGGACCAAGGCACCAAGGATCAGCCCTAGCAAAAACTGTGTTGTTCAAAACAAGCTGTGCCACCCTCTGCAGCGCAGCCCCTCCTGACGGGCTCTGTGCTCACCTGCAAAACTTTCCTTGAGATTGTCTCAGCTCCTGCAGTGACCATGTCCAGCCCTGCTTAACTCTTAAGACCAGGGGACACCATGGTTTGAGGCAGTATCTGTACAAGAACATTGTAGGGCCCCTCTAAAGTCTGGAAGAAACAGCCATCTGCATTGTGTTAGCTTTTCAAAGGGAGCAATTCTAACTATTTGCAGAGACAATCTGCAAAAAATACCAAGGGGAAGGAAAATATTCCAAAGCCTTTCATGTGAGGCTTGTCCACAGGAGAGGATTCAGCTTCTGCTGCTGCTGTCTGTTGTTGGATAACTGGAGAGAAGTTTGCACCAACCATGTAGCCACCTTCCCCCCAGCAGGATCCCATTTGCCACTGCCACGTGAATTTCAAACAGCTACAGGAAATATCCTCAGATTCCCTGCCAAGCTCTTCTCTCTCTTCCTCTCCCTTCCCTCAGCTCCAAGTGAGCTGTGTGGTATTTATTCTCTTCCTTCCCCCTCCAGAGGGGCTGCAGGAAAAGCTGGGGCACTGTTCGAGGTTCATGTTTGCTGATTTCTCTTTCAATAAGTGACTGATTAATTGGGTTAGTGAAGGGGAGGGTAAGCTCTTGCTCTTCAATAAGAGCAAGACAGCAAAACAGGCATCAAAGTTAGATCTTACCGATTCTCACTCTCCAAGAGCAGGAACTTCGAAAATAGCTATAAAGTATCGGCTGAGAAGAGAAAGACAGAACAGGTGGGTTTTTATCGTGGGAACATCAGAGTATTTTAAGGAGATCACGGCATGAGCAGAAGGCATTTCAGGAACTATATGACACAGGAGACCAAGGTTTTGGGGGAGAGCTCCCCTTTTTAAAGTGACTGTTCCCAGTTTGAGCTTACAGGTAATATCACTTTTTTCATGCTGGCCCTCTGAATATTTGGTTGCATCTGATGCTTTCAGCAGTATGCAGGCTGTCTTAAAATAACCCCCTACAGAGCTTCCCTCTTTGTCACTATCACACGTCACCATCTTCTACCCTGTCATAGATTTTGAAGCAAATTCCCCACTGACTGCGCCAAGCAGCTGCACTGAGCATTTCAGGGGCGTGAAATGGCTTTTCTAACCCAGCAAGGCCAGAGCAGTCCTCTTTCCAAATGAGAAGAGCCACTGCTCTTCCAGGTAAGCGCCAAGAATGCAGGGAATTCATCTCCACCTGAACTCCCAACACCAAGGCAGCTCCCTCAGCTGCTTTCATCCCATCCACAGTCTCACCTTTTCAGATGCCATGGTCAATGTGTGCAATCCACTACCGAGGACAAGAATAACCGCTTCCTTTTCCTTTTAACTCAGAAGGGGTGGGGGAAGGCTTTTCTCCTAAAACCAATGAGAAATGGACCATGCCCCCAAATCTATGTCCAGGACACAGAACAAGAGGAGACAGACACATGCAATTGAGTGGCTGCAGTCAGCTGCATCCACATCCCTTGCAGCCCCAACTCTGGTATCAGAACGATTACCCGCTTTGAGAGTGGAATTATATTTAGGAATCATTTATTTCTCTAGCTTTTTGTCTAGAATGAATAAAATATCTAGAGAGCCAGCAGCTGCCAAGGCAACCCGTGTCCCGGGGGCAACAGAGCCCCAGGGAACAATACTCGGAAAGCAAAGCCATGTGGAGAATTTCCATTTCACTAGGGAAAGGCCTTTGCAGGGAGGGCCCTCCGGGGCCTGTAGCCCTCCTCCCATCAGGGCCAGCAGGTGAGAGGGCTTCCTACTGTACATGCCTGGGAAAGGCTGTTACTCTGCCTCCAGCCTAGCTTTGAGCAAAATACAGGGCTCACTGTTTTTTGTGTTAGTCTCTTCCTTCCACATGGGAAACGCAGTACTCGTGCCTGCTTCTAAACAAACCAATAATCATGTCTCTCCTTCCTTCCATGGATCCCAAAGCGCACAGGGAGCACTCTGTGTGTCCACCCTCCCAAAACACAGAGAAATTATACCAGAGACTGACAGCGGGGCAGAGAAAGGTAGGGATTTGCTCAGCGCCACACAAGCTGTCAACAGAAAACCAGACATACCCTAAGGACTTCTGTGCTCCAGTCCTCTTCCTAAACACAGATGTCTCTCTTACAGTTTAGATTAATTCCAATAACTTGAAATGAGGTATGCGTTTGATTAAAGTACTCTAGTCAAAGTTTACTGGACAAATGGTTTATAAGTGAGAGGGGAAGTGATGGCAGTACTGGCAGCTCTTTTGAAGACAAAGTATTTACTGATTTTCTTAAATCCTCTGCTTCTGGAATCAGGGCATTAGAAATCTCAGCTATACTTTTTAAAAATAAATGGCTAGCCTGCTAGCAGGGAAGAAAACAGAAAATATGACTTCTGAAACATCAAACACCAAAATAGAAACATACAGCATTTATACATATTATTTTTAACTGTCTTTCCTGGAGAACTTGCTGATGATTTTTGTCTCTGAAATTCATTTCCTTCTCCACATCTGTTTTGGACTCTGGACTCTCAGCTGGCAGAGACATTCCTCCTGATCCTCCCTACAGCTTTTTGTTGTTTTTGCAGCCTGCACTATCATCGGTAACTAAACGGTCTTAAGCTAATTGTTTCGCTCCATAATTTCAAGGCCCCTGGAGATTTTATTAAAAAGAACGCGGAAAACAACCCTTCCCTCTGATGCGTCTCCAGAGCCTAGGACCTGGAGTGATCTCTTAAATTCATGCTGTTTTGCTTCCAGCACCAGGGGAAGCTTACTGGTGAAACAATCAGCGAAGTAAAGACGTAGAGACAGCAGGAGTGTTTTGCTCGTCAGTGCCTTCTTTGCCCAGGTCTCAGAATGACACTATACCTCATCTTCTCAGAGGAAGAGCTGAGCACAGGCCAGGGGTAGGGGAGAACGCCTCCATTTACAACCTTGTGCAGTACAATCACTGTAAGCTACGAGACAGATCAGTTGGAGCTGGGACATTAGCAGGAAGACAACGTTTGCTTGATGTCTACTGAGATTTCTGTTTTGCTTCTGTTTTCATTTCCAGCATCAGTGCTGCAGCAGAGGCATGAAGGTGAGGAGAGTTTGGCCTGAAATACCAATCCTGATTAAAAAAACAGGAGAACTTCTTACCTCCAATGATCCAGCCCTCTTTCCTATGAAAATTTTGCCAAACGAGCCTCCTATCACACAAATGAATGTGACTAACCCAGGAAGAGCTAAGAGCTCATCAGCTTCTGGGGTGGCAAGAGAGATAACCCATTTGCTTTGAGGCCTGGGGTAACCGATCACTGCAGCAAACACTAGCAGTAGCCAGTGCTGCTTTCTTGAGGGGAGAAAATGATGCCAAGCTGGTCCGCAGTGAGAGAAGAGACCTAAAGGAGAGCTGCTAGGGCAGTGTGACTAGAGTGCCTTGGCTTTATAACTTTTCACATTCCTAAATGCCTAAAGGTATTTTGTTAAGTCTGGGCCCAAGCCACTCAGCTGCAAGCACAGGGCACAGGACCGTGATCAGGGTCCTTCTAGAGAGTCACTACGTAGCATCCCAAGCCTCTTGCCAAGAGCCTCTGCCTCTCATCTCTGGGATCCCCCCAGTAGTCAGGAATGATAGGGAAGTAGGCACAGAGAGCAGAGGAACAAGGCTCATCTTGACTTTTGCATTCAAGCCCATCTTTGTCACTGATGCACAGTGCAGTGACCCTGACCACGCTTCATAGGGAGCCTATAAGCCTCAATTCCTTGAAGTTTGAAGAAATTCATCTGAAAGAGACAATCAGCATCAAGGACAACAGAGTCTTCCTGAGGATGCTTCCTCCTGGAAATACATTTTACTGTTCAGGAAGCGGGCAGACGCTCCAAACGTAGAGTAGTGAGCCCCGAGGTTTCCACGCCTGTCCACTTCAATATGTTTTGCTCTAGATATCACCTCTTTCTAGGCTGTGGTCAAGACATACTAGAAAAGACAAGGTCTTTTCACCTATTTGCTGAAGAAGCATGTCCTTGAAGAAGAAAAGATGCACAAAGAGGCTCAGGACGTAGAAGGTAAACACCAGGATGCCGAGTCCCCATCACTCCAATGAGCCTGTACATTTTGACTGACACAGGGCAGCAGACCATGCAGAAAATGGCTACAGAATCACAGAATCGTTTAGGTTGGAAGGGGCCTCTGGAGACCATCTAGTCCAACCTCCCTGCTCAAGCAGGGTCACCTAGAGCATATTGCCCAGGAAAAATGGGAAGTGGTTCTCTCTACGTGAGAACATGAGAGAGAGCACTGTTCCTTGGAGCCTTGCCTAGGAGAAAACACACCCATATACCATAGAGGCAGTGTTTGAAAGGCACCACTTGTATCCTGCTGGACTAAATGTAACAGTATAAATGGAAGGAATAGGCCTGCTCCTAAGCGCTCAGTCTCAATGCGGCGGGCACCGGTGTTAACAGCTCACGCAGTGAATTACATTAAGTAACATTAGTTTTGAAAGGCATTAGTTTTATTTACCTTGCTGTACATGCTGTTTAACATGGAATTAAATTCCTTGCTCTCCCTTGAGATAAAGATACCTGACCACGGTCTGACAGTGGAAATCCTTGCAAGCGATTGTCTGCATTGTGGAGCTGTCCTTTTATTAAACAGCATTTCTTTCTTTCCCGAACATTTTGAGGCATCTGAAAATAATTTAGGTCCTGATTCCAATAATCTGCTGAGATGGACAAAAAGGCTAAAATGAGTGAGTTTCTGTGTGAGTAAAAGAGCCCATGCTGGCTCACAAAGGTTACAGAAACCAGAGAAAAAATGTCAAGCCCTGTGGTAGGGCTAAATTTATCCACAAACATGCCCACAGTTTTAATCAGAAAGAAACGGTGTGCACAAAAATAATTGTCTGCTCTTTCTCCTTTTATCAGCTGGCCTAATATAGAACAGTACTTCTCCCTACAAATGTGGCTCCACCATTATTCTTAAAACTTTACTACTGCAGTTTCACTTCAGCCACTCCTGAATCAACCCAAGTATCTCCAAGCAGAACACTTTTGCAGTAAGACTATGAAAACGACAAGCTGCAGAGTGCTCTGGGCCTGCACCCCTGCAAGCCGTAAATACCTTTGCGGCAGGGGAACTCATCGCACCCGTCCTGGGTGGCAGCTGCCCGGCAGCAGGCCCTGCTCGGCTCGTCCTCCTTGGCTTAATCTCTGCAGGCTTGACTAGAGCCGTCAGGCGCTCTCGGGGCACGAACCCTCTGCAGAGAGTTATGGGAACGGTAGTCTTGGCTGCTTTCTCAAGCCTTACTAGCTTCGGAGCCAGGTTTGTGCAGGTGCGAGAGAGCAAGAGTCCTCCTTTGACTGGTGTGTTTTCTTATTATATTTAGAATTTGAATTTAACAATTTTGCCCTGAAACATCTGCTTCCACCCAGAAAACGCAGCAGTCATGTCATGGACCAGAAAGTGAAGCTGGTTTAAAAGATAACCAGTCTGCCCGTGCCACCCCCCGAGGCAAAACACAAAAGGGATGGCTATATGCACAACCAAACACATTTCTGCCACAAGCAGGTACAGCCTGCAGCGTCACCCCCCGGAGCATGGCTACGAGAACGGCCTGTTTAGGCATTTTTGCCACAGAGCCCCGGGGTGCTACAGCGGAGCTGTAGGAAAGCTTGGTCCCCGCTGTTGCTCTTTGCTTCTCAGAGGCGCCCACGACACGTTCGCAGCGTGACGAGGCAGCTCCTTGCCTTCCCCCTGCAGCACGCGCGGTTGCGAAGCCCCGTGGGCCGCAGGGGCTGGGCAGCGTGCAGCAGCCCGCGGGGCAGACACGCCACGCGCCGTGCCGCCCCAGA